AAATCCACGTTCATTTATAGTTGGACCTTGAAAGACTACTTTTAAAAAATCCACGTTTATTGGTACGCCTTAAAAAAATATTTTTAAAAAATCCACGTTTCTAGTTGGACCTTAAAAAATATTTTTAAAAAATCCACGTTTATTGGTACGCCTTAAAAAAATATTTTTAAAAAATCCACGTTTCTAGTTGGACCTTAAAAAATATTTTTAAAAAATCCACGTTTATAGTTGGACCTTGAAAAAATATTTTTAAAAAATCCACGTTTATAGTTGGACCTTGAAAAACTATTTTTAAAAAATCCACGTTTCTAGTTGGACCTTAAAAAATATTTTCAAAAAATCCACGTTCATTTATAGTTGGACCTTGAAAGACTATTTTTAAAAAATCCACGTTTATTGGTACGCCTTAAAAAAATATTTTTAAAAAATCCACATTTCTAGTTGGACCTTAAAAAATATTTTTAAAAAATCCACGTTTATGGTTGGACCTTGAAAAAATATTTTTAAAAAATCCCCGTTTATAGTTGGACCTTGAAAAAATATTTTTAAAAAATCCACGTTTATAGTTGGGCTTCGAAATTTTTTTTTTTTTAAAAATCCACGTTTATAGTTGGGCCTTGAAAAATATTTTTAAAAAATCCACGTTTCTAGTTGGGCCTTGAAAAAATATTTTTAAAAAATCCACATTTATTGGTACGCCTTAAAAAAATATTTTTAAAAAATCCACATTTATTGGTACGCCTTAAAAAAATATTTTTAAAAAATCCACGTTTATTGGTAGGCCTTGAAAAAATATTTTTAAAAACTCCACGTTTATTGGTACGCCTTAAAAAAATATTTTTAAAAAATCCACGTTTATTGGTACGCTTTAAAAAATCCATGTTTATTGGTACGCCTTAAAAATTATTTTTAAAAAATCCACGTTTATTGGTACGCCTTAAAAAAATATTTTTAAAAAATACAAAATCAAGGGCTTTTGATAAACGTAGATTTTTTAAAAATATTTTTTAATGGCCAATTTTTATTTTGAAATGAAAAATGGCAACCCTGTCAGCTATCCAAAAACGTATCACATAGCACAAAAACAAAAAGAGCATCAGTATCTCTAACTTTACAGCTCTATCCTTGTGTGGCTGTGTTTTATCTTGCCTCCTAAAGGTATGCTTTAGTGTGCCAGACAATCTACACCCAAGATAATAGTAGGATGTATGCTTTGGCATAAAACTTTATAAGGATGTGTTAATAAAACATGTCCTTGTGAACACACACACATACATACATATAGCAAACACACATACATCTGCACACAATTCAAAGTAAATTTGAGGTTATGAAAATAATGGCCAGTCATGCGTCTGTCCTTCCCATTTTATTGTTGCATTTAAATGAAGGTGAAAGTTCAAAATCACCACTTGTAATGAATTGTTTTATTGGCTTTGCATCTGGATTTCCTTACGAAACTCGCAGCACCGGAGAAAATTTGTATCAAAACAAAAGAAAAATATTTTATAATTTTCTCAATTCTCCCCTGGGGGGTGAAACATACACCGACACACCCATAGATATAAATGTAAAAATGTGTGTGTGTGTGCGCCCGGCATCCTTTGTGCCAGGTTAATGACTTTGGGGTGCGACAACACTTGAACTGAATATTGTATTCAGACGAAAGCAGAAGAAGAACAAGACAAAGTTTTGTGTTATGCAGATTAACATGACTGCGAAAATCTGTTCCTAGGTCAAGGTTGTTATGCAAATTTTATTCTAAATAACTGTGAAGGGGAAGATTTTTAAAGATAAACATTTAAAGAATATATTTTAAAGAGATGAAATTTTTGCTGCATAGAAAAATATTTTTAAAAAATTCACGTTGTAGTTGGGTCTTGGAAAAAAATATTTTTAAAAAATCCACGTTGTACTTGGGTCTTGGAAAAAATATTTTTAAAAAATCCACGTTGTAGTTGGGTCTTGGAAAAAAATATTTTTAAAAAATCCACGTTGTAGTTGGGTTTTGGAAAAAACATTTTTAAAAAATCCACGTTGTAGTTGGGTTTTGGAAAAAACATTTTTAAAAAATCCACGTTGTAGTTGGGTCTTGGAAAAAATATTTTTAAAAAATCCACGTTTGTTAATTGCCCTTGAAAAAATATTTTTAAAAAATCCACGTTTGTTAATTGCCCTTGAAAAAATATTTTAAAAAAATCCACATTTATAGTTGGGCCTTGAAAAAATATTTTTAAAAAATCCACGTTTATAGTTGGGCCTTGATATTTTTAAAAAATCCACGTTTATAGTTGGGCCTTGATATTTTTAAAAAATCCACGTTTATAGTTGGGCCTTGATATTTTTAAAAAATCCACGTTTATAGTTGGGCCATATTTTTAAAAAATCCACGTTTATCGATGGGGCTTGAAAAAATATTTTTAAAAAATCCACGTTTGTAAATTGCGCTTGTAAAAATATTTTTTAAAAATCCACGTTTGTAAATTGCAGTAGAAAAAATATTTTTAAAAAATCCACGTTTGTAAATTGCACTTGAAAAAATATTTTTTAAAAATCCACGTTTGTAAATTGCAGTAGAAAAAATATTTTTAAAAAATCCACGTTTGTAAATTACACTTGAAAAAATATTTTTATAAAATCCACGTTTGTAAATTGCACTTGAAAAAATATTTGTAAAAAATCCACGTTTGTTAATTGCCCTTGAAAGAATATTTATAAAAAACTCACGTTTGCTATGGGACCTTAAGAATTTTTTTTTTTAAATCCACGTTTGCTATGGGACCTTAAGAATTTTTTTTTTTTAATCCACGTTTGCTATGAGACTTTAAATTTTTTTTTAAAAATCCACATCTTGGAAAAAATATTTTTAAAAAAACCACGTTTATAGTTGACCCCTGAAAAATATTTTTAAAAAAACCACGTTTATAGTTGACCCCTGAAAAATATTTTTAAAAAAACCACGTTTATAGTTGACCCCTGAAAAATATTTTTAAAAAAACCACGTTTATAGTTGACCCCTGAAAAATATTTTTAAAAACACCACGTTTATAGTTGACCCCTGAAAAATATTTTTAAAAAAACCACGTTTATAGTTGACCCCTGAAAAATATTTTTAAAAAAACCACGTTTATAGTTGACCCCTGAAAAATATTTTTAAAAAAACCACGTTTATAATTGGATCTTTAAAAAATATTTTTAAAAAAATCCTCGTTTATAGTTGGCCCTTGAAAAAATATTTTTAAAAAATCTACGTTTGTTAATTGCCCTTGAAAGAATATTTTTAAAAAATCTACGTTTGTTAATTGCCCTTGAAAGAATATTTTTAAAAAATCTACGTTTGTTAATTGCCCTTGAAAGAATATTTTTAAAAAATCTACGTTTGTTAATTGCCCTTGAAAAAATATTTTTAAAAAATCCACGTTTGTTACTTACCCTTGAAAAAATATTTTTAAAAAATCCACGTTTGTTAATTGCCCTTGAAAAATTATTTTTAAAAAATCCACATTTGAAAAAATATTTTTAAAAATTCCACGTTTGTTAAATGCCCTTGAAAAAATATTTTTAAAAATTCCACGTTTGTAAAATGCCCTTGAAAAAATATTTTTAAAAAATCTACGTTTGTTAATTGCCCTTGAAAAAATATTTTTAAAAAATCTACGTTTGTTAATTGCCCTTGAAAAAATATTTTTAAAAAGTCTACGTTTGTTAATTGCCCTTGAAAGAATATTTTTAAAAAATCTACGTTTGTTAATTGCCCTTGAGAAAATATTTTTAAAAAATCCACGTTTGTTAATTGCCCTTGAAAAAATATTTTGTAAAAAATCCACGTTTGTTAATTGCCCTTGAGAAAATATTTTTAAAAAGTCCAAGTTTATAGTTGGGGCTTGAAAAAATATTTTTAAAAAATCCACGTTTATAGTTGACCCTTGAAAAAATATTTTTTGAAAAATCCACGTTGTAGTTGGGTCTTGGAAAAAATATTTTTAAAAAATCCACGTTTATAGTTGTCCCTTGAAAAAATATTTTTACAAAAAACCACGTTTATGGTTAGGGCTTGAAAAAATATTTTTAAAAAATCCACGTTTATAGTTAGGGCTTGAAAAAATATTTTAAAAAAAACCATGAAAAAATATTTTTTGAAAAATCCACGTTGTAGTTGGGTCTTGGAAAAAATATTTTTAAAAAATCCACGTTTATAGTTGTCCCTTGAAAAAATATTTTTACAAAAAACCACGTTTATGGTTAGGGCTTGAAAAAATATTTTTAAAAAATCCACGTTTATAGTTAGGGCTTGAAAAAATATTTTTAAAAAAACCATGATTATGGTTGGGGCTTGAAAAAATATTTTTAAAAAATCCACGTTTATAGTTAGGGCTTGAAAAAATATTTTTAAAAAAACCATGATTATGGTTGGGGCTTGAAAAAATATTTTTAAAAAATCCACGTTTGCTATGGGACCTTAAAAATATTTTTTTTTTTAATCCACGTTTGCTATGGGACCTTTTTTATAAAATCCACATTTGCTATGGGACCTTAAATTATTTTTCCACATCTTGGAAAAAAATTTTTAAAAAATCCACGTTTTTAGTTGGCCCTTAAAAACAAAATTTTAAAAAAATTTACGTCCTTTAGAGGGCCTCTAAAATATTTAAAAGAACACATTTTTTGCAGGGCCTCTAAAGATATTTTTAAAATCTAAAGTATTTTTATTCCTCGTCATTTTGAAGGGTCCTAAAATATTGAGAAAAAAATAGTTTTAAAAAAAATCTTCCAATGGCCCTTCACGTTGTTTATATTTGGTTGCTTTTTCATTGATGATTGGCAATGCCGTGGCATTGCCAATTACTTGTTATTCATATTTCCCCACCTATTCCATTGCCTACTTTTAGGCTCTCGTTAGTGAAACCCCTTTGAAACAAAGATTGTCATATTTCTTTTGATTTCTTTAGCATTATAAAAATTTATTTTCACAAAAAAATTACATTTGTTTTTTTTGGCTTAACTCTTCGTACAAATAATACAAATTAAAAAAATAATAATTATTATTCATACTAAAATCTATAATAAACTAAAATTATATTCGTAATATTTAACCTAGCCTAGAATAGCAAAAAATAGACCTTTACAAAAATTAAATTTTTATATAATTTTTATACAAATATAAAAAATATAAAAGAATTATAAATTAAAATAGGGAAGAGATAAAATTTAACTAAAATGTACAAAGGGAAGTGGAAAAGAGGGACAGAGTGAGAAATTTGTGGGGTGGGAGAGTAAGAGATGGAGCTGTTATTGGAGAAGAGAGGTTGAATCCTGGGTGAATTTCCAATGTACCTTTTTTCTGGAGGGGTATAGGGGAGTGAATGAGGCTGATATACTTTGGGTAGGGTTGCCCCCTTTTTTGGGCTTTAAAAAGTCCTCGGATTTATTACCCTCCCACCTTCAATAAAATTTATTTCTATTTCACTTTCTTTGAAAATTTACATAAAATTGATATAAATATTAAAAGGGAATATTTTTTAAATATTAAATATTTTACTGGTAACCATTTTTTAATAAAAAAATTATAAGAAATATTTTTGAAAAATATTTAAAAAAATATATATTAAATTACAATGTTGGATGGATTTTTTTTTGTGGGAATGGAATAAAAATGAAATGGATGGAAGGGAAAGGAAGGAAAGGGGGAAATTAAAAAAATATATTTTTTGGGAGGCAATTAATGTTTCCCCTTTTCATCCTTCCTTTTTGGAAATTTTAATTTTTAATTTTTTTTGTGAACTTTAAATTGTGAATCTTTTACCTGTGTCTGAGCTTTGTGAATCTTCTTTGATTATTTTGTGTGTATATAAATATTTTTAATGATTTTTTTTTTTTGAGATGATAAACTATGCGAGAATTCCATAAAAAATGTTTGTAAAATACTTTCTTTTTTTAAATAAAAATATTTTTTTCTAACCTAAAACATTTACACTAGCCTATCTACGCCTTCCTCTTAAGGCCCACCATGCACAGTGTAAAGAATATTACAATCCAGGCAGCCATAACCAAGAAACCGCCATAGACCTTGCCATTGGTAATGTCCCAACCCTTTTCGAGGATGTTTCGGGCCGATATTGAGGGTAAAGTAAAGGGGAAATATAATACCACATCTTGCAAAGCCTTGGGCATGCCTTCCAGGGGCCACAGGAGACCTAGGAAAAAATGGAAAATTTTTAAAAAATATATTTTTTTTAATTATTTTTTTTATTTTTTTTTTAAATTTTTTTTATTTTTTTTTAAATTTTTTTTATTTTTTTTTTAATTTTTTATTTTTTTTTTTTTAATTTGTTTTAATTTTTTATTTTTTTTTTGATTTTTAATTTTTTTTTAATTTTTTTTTTTAATTTTTCATTTATTTATTTTTTTTAATGAAACCCCCTCTCCCCCCATCTCCTCTTACCACACAAAATAATCATGGGATAGAAAGCACCGGTGGCCACGAAATTCGCCTCTGTATGCGACTTGCAATAGACGGATATAAGCAATCCTAAAAAAAGGTTTAGAGAACAAAAAAGTGTTACCCATTTTTTTTTGTTTGATCATGTCATTCATTAACACCTTACCAAACAACATGCCGCAAAATGAGGTCAATGTCAATAAAAATATCAACGTCGTGGTATCGCCCTTATTGTAGGTGTCAAACACCAAACCAATATAAACAATCACTTCAATACTTTGAGCCACCATGATAATGAATTGAGTCAGCAAATGGGCCCACAGCATTTGTATGGCCGAAACACCGGCCACTAGGGTACGATCCCACACGCCATCCAGGCGTTCTTCAATGAAAACGGACGCTGTCATCAGAGTGGCCAAAAAGAAGACCATACTAAACACAAATGAAAAGACCAGAAAAAATTGAAAATTATTTTTTTGAAAATATTTTTTCCAAACTCACGTCATGACCACACCGGGTGCCACATAGCGCTGGAATTCCATATCCTCAGTACCATAAATGGGTTCTTGCAAATTCACCGGAATCGAGGCAAGACTGGAGGGATAATTGCAATCGGTAACGACATCCTTGATGAAGCTGCTGTAGACCTCACGCAGTTTCCTCTCCAGATAGTAGGAGATTTGACGATCTGAAAAAAAATTAGAAATTGGCAAATTTTAATCTTTTTAAAATATTTCATAATTTTTTTCATATTTTATATACTTGTTCTAATAATTTTAACACCTCTGTTAAGTTCACAGGGCTCTGTTAATAAAATAAATTTATATTTTTATTCAGGAAGTCCTGTTTTTTTTAGAAAATTTTTAAAAAAAAATTAGATTTTTAGATTTTTGAACTCCCGTTAATTTTTAACAGAACTCTGTTAATAACATTTTTTATTAAATCTTATAATTTTACTACAATGTTGTGTTTTTTTTTTCTTTCTAATTCTTAAAAATGTTTTTTTTTTTCATATTTTCTATATTTTTTTTTAATAATTAAAAATTCAATTTTGACACCTCTGTTAACTTAACAGTGCTCTGTTAAAATAACATTTTTCATATTTTTAATCAAAAAAATCTTTTTTTTTTAAATCTAATAAAATGTTCAATTTTTAAGAATTTTTTGAACTCCTGTTAATTTTTAATAGAACTCTGTTAATAACATTATTTCCTAAATTTTGCTACAATGTTGTGTTTTTTTCTGTCTTTCTAATTTTTAAAAATGTTTTTTTTAATATTTTCTATATTTTTTAACAATTAGAAATTAAATTTTGGACACCTCTGTTAACTTAGCAGTGCTCTGTTATTATAAAATTTTTCACATTTTTAATCAAGAAAGTCTTTTTTTTTAGAAAATTTGAAGAAATTTTCAATTTTTAAGATTTTTATAAATCCCCGTTAATATTTAACAGAGGTCTGTTAATAACATTTTTTTTTAATTTTATGATTTTACTACAATGTTGTGTTCTTTCTTTCTAATACTTAAAAAATATTATTTTTTTATATTTTTATATTTTTTTAACAATTAGAAATTAATATTTCAAACCTCTGTTAACTTAACAGAGCTCTGCTAAAATAAAGTTTATGCTATTTTTAATAAAGAAGGTGTATTTTTAGAAAATGTAATGAATTTTCGATTTTTAACATTTTTTTGGACGAATAACAGAACTCTGTTAATAACATTATTCGTTAAGTTACATTAATATGATTTTTTTATTATAATACTCCATATTTTATTATTTTTCTAATGAAAAAATTAACTTTTTTGACACCTCTGTTAACTTAACATAGCTCTGTTAATATAAAGGTTGTCCAGTTTTTAATTAGGAAGGTTGTTTTTAGAAAATCTAAAGAAATTTTCAATAATGAACAATTTTTAACGAATAACAGAGCTCTGTTAATAACATTGGCTGTTAATAACATTTTGAACGAATAACAGAACTCTGTTAATAACATTGACGGAGCTCTGTTAATAACATTATTCCCTAAATTACATTATTTCATGAATTTTTCATTTTAAAAATTAATTTTCGATTTTTAAAAATTTTTCGAGCGAACAACTCTGTTAATAACATTAACAGAGCTCTGTTAATAACATTATGTTCCAAATTTTTTAATTTTATTACAATATTGTGTTTTCTTTTCTGGGCATTTTTTTCTAAAAATTAAAACTAATTTTTCTGTCGTTCTGTTAACTTAACAGAGTTCTGTCAAACTTATATCCTGTTAAAAAGGGCTGTTATCTTAACAGAATTCTCTTAACAACATTTGCTTTTCTATTTTCCAGTTAGAGATCAAATTTGTATAGGAATGTGAGGCATTTTTTAAGACTTTTGAATCTCTGTTAACTTTTTAACAGACCTCTGTTAATAACATTTTATTTTCGTTTCAATTGCTTAACATATTTTCCCATGGTATTTCATATTTTATATATTTTTTTAATAATTAAAAATTAATTTTTAACACCTCTGCTGTTAACTTAACAGAGCTCTGTTAATATAAAGTTTGGGCTATTTTTGATTAAGAAGGTATTCTATTGTTTTAGGAAATCTAATATTTTTTTTTTTTAACAATTTTCTCTGTGCCATTTATTTTTTTAACAGAGCTCTGTTAATAACATTATTTTAAAAATGTTATAATTTTATTGAAATATTGTGTTTTTTTTTGCAGGGTATCTTTTCCAAATCTTAAAAAAATATTTTTTTGTCATTCTGTTAACTTAACAGAGTTCTGTTAAAATCATATTTTTTAAATGCTGATAACTTAACAGAGTTCTGTTAATGAATTTTTTTTGTTCATATAAATATTAAAAACAATATTTTTGTCGAGCTGTTAACTTAACAGAGTTCTGTTAAAATCAATATTTTTTATTTCTCTTAACAGAGTTCTGTTAATGACATTTATTTTTTCTGTTCATAGAAATATTAGAAAAAAAATGTTTTTTTTGCCGTACTGTTAACTTAACAGAGCTCTGTTAAAATCAATATTTTTTTTAATTCTGTTAACAGAGTTCTGTTAATGGCATTTAATTTTTTGCGGTTATAAAAATATTTAAAAAATATTTTTTGTCGTACTGTTAACAGAGTTCTGTTAAAATCAATATTTCTTAATTCTCTTAACAGAGTTCTATAAATGACATTTATTTTTTTCTGTTCATAAAAATATTTAAAAAAATGTTTTTTTTGTTGAACTGTTAACCTAACAGAGTTCTGTTAAAATCAATATTTTCTAATTTTCTTAACAGAGTTCTGGTAATGACGTTTATTTTTTCTGTTCTGTTTTGTAAAAAGTTTTTTTTTCGTACTGTTAACTTAACAGAGTTCTGTTAAAATCAATATTTTGTTATTCTCTTAACATAGTTATTTTCGTACTGTTAACTTAACAGAGTTATGTAAAAGTTAATATTTTTTAATTCTCTTAACAGAGTTCTGTTAATGACATATATGTTTTCTGTTCATAAAAATTTTGAAAAAATTGGTTTTTTTTGTACTGTTAACTTAACAGAGTTCTGTTAAAATCAATATTTTTTAATTCTATTAACAGAGTTCTGTTAATGACATTTATTTTTTTTTTATATAAATATTTAAAAAAATATTTTTTGTCGTACTGTTAACTTAACAGAATTCTGTTAAAATCCATATTTTGTAATTCTCTTAAAAGAGTTCGGTTAAAATTGTTTTTTGTCGTACTGTTAACTTAACAGAGTTCTGCTAAAATCAATATTTTTTATTTCTCTTAACAGAGTTCTGTTAATGAAATTAATTTTTTCTGTTCATAAAAATATTTAAAAAATATTCTTTGGTCGTACTGTTAACTTAACAGAGTTCTGTTAAAATCAATATTTTGTTTATTCTCCTAAAAGCGTTCTGTTAATGAAATTAATTTTTTCGGTTCATAATGTTGTTTTTCGTACTGTTAACTTAACAGAGTTCTGTTAAAATGAATATTTTTTAATTCTCTTAACAGAGTTCTGTTAATGACATTTATTTTTTCTGTTCATACAAATATTTTTAAAAAAGATTTTTTTTCGTACTGTTAACTTAAAAGAGTTCTGTTAAAATCCATATTTTTTAATTCTCTTAACAGAGTTCTGTTAATTAAAATAATTTTTTTGTTTATAAAAATATTAAGTTTTTATGGAGATCTGATGGAACACACAAGATTTTTGAACCTCTTTTAATTTTTACCGGACCTCTGTTAATAAAATTTTTTTTATCAACTTGACTTACCCGTATTATCTAAATGCACTGTAACCTGGGCATTATCAATGGCATCATCTTCGGCATAGCGTCCATCTTCCAAGAAGGTCTGCATAGAAGTTGAAAAGTTGCTGGCAAAATAAACATAACCCAAAATCTTGGCCTTTTTGGCATCGCGATGGGCCTCCTCGAGACTGGGGTAAAATACCTAAAAGAATTTTCATAAAATTTTTTAATCGGTTTAAATTTTAGAAAATATGTCTTACCCTATTCAAGTGATCTGAACCCTCCAGACCGGTTATATAGCGACATGAAAGATTACTAAAATAACACGTGTCATTGGCCGGGTTTACAGTTATCAGATCTGGACTATAACATGACTCCCATTGGCGTACCTCATCATTGACAATACCGATTTTTAGATTGGTTGGTGTCTTGCCCACGGCCATGTAGAAGCAGGATAGTTGGATGATGGGAAAGAGTAACATGAAAATAATTCCTCTGAAAGAGACAGAGAGAGAAAGGGATGAGTTAAATGAGAAACCTTAACGAGGGAGCAAAAGATTGCCTTACGAGGGTTGTCTAAAAAGTTGTACAAAATTTTTGGTCATCAGAGCCTTGATCCTTCCCTTGGTGGTGAACAGGCATTTCTTGGTATTATCGTTGTCATCATCTTCCTCCAGTTGTTTTTCGGGATTGGGCTTCTCACTCATCGACTTTTCCGTGGGCTGTATAATGGACGATGCATCAATGACCTCAACACCATTACAAATGGCATTGGAGTTGTGATGATGTTGCTGCTGAGAGGGTAGCTGGGCCAGCGATGCTTCTATGACGTCATTATCACCCTGTTTTTGACTCAATATCAGAAAGGCATCCTCAATGGAGTTCACTTCGAACCGTAACATTATATTTTCGGGAGTATCCTCGGCCAATAGTACACCTTTGCGCATAAGACCGATCTGTGGAAGGGGGGAGGAGAGGATAAAGGGGATCTTAAATATGTTTTCCTGAAATAATTTTGGGGAGTTTTCTAACTTACACTATTGGCTTGCTTAGCTTCCTCAATGTAATGTGTCGTTATAATCACAGCCATTTTGCTATTTCTGGTTGTCTCCACCAAGAACTCCCAGATTCTGTAAAGAAAAAAAAAAATTGCAACAAAAAAATTAAATATTTTTTTCTTTTATTTTCAGGTAAATATTTTTGCAAAAGAAAAGCTGTTGTGAACTCTCAGTGATGGCTTTAACAGTGGACTGTTAATAACATGGTCTGTAAAAAATTCCAAAATTATCTTAAAATTCAACTCAGTTGTTTCCTATATTTCTTTTGTCATCAAACAAATTTTGGGGGCTCTGTTAAGCCGTTAACAGAGCTCTGTTAATAACAGAGTCTAAAGTTTTTCTAATAAATAGCAATATTAGTAACTCCTAACCCAAATTTCCTTTAAAATCGTGCTAAAATATAATTTTTGCATACCTCTGTTAAGTTAACAGATATATGTTATTAACAGAGCTGTCCAGTTTTGAAAAAAAAAAATTGAAAATTTAATAAGACCATCGATGATTTTTGAAAATTTAAATAAATTCTGACCTCTGCTAACCTTTTTTATAAGAGCTCTGTTAATAACATAACTCTGCTAATATCAAAAATATGTTATTCTTAATTTAATTTTATTCCAAATCGCATCTTGGGCCTTAAATGTTGATTAACGAAGTAATTCAGTGGCTCTGTTAAACTCTTAACAGAGCTCTGTTATTAACAGAGTCTTACAAAATTTTTAATAAATAGCAATATGACTAACTTCTAATTAAAATCGGGTAAAATGTAATATTAACAGTGAAGGCTTTAACAGTGGACTGTTAATAACATGGTTTGTAGAAATGTTAAAAGTTTCCGAAATTGATCCTCAGTTACATAAGTTTAGATTAACTGTATGTCTCTAAAGATTACAGTGTTCTGTTAAGTCATTAACAGAGCTCTGTTACTAACATGTCCTAAATTTTTCTAAAAAAAATTAGAATAGAACAGCTGCAGCAAACATAACTTAAAAATCGTTTAAATATGACTTTTACATAACTCTGTTAAGTTAACAGAGGTCTGTTATTGCACAAGGTGTTGTATTTTTTTTATAAAAACACATTGAAATTTTAATAAATCCAGGAATTATTTTTACAAAAGTTAAATAAATTTTGATCTCTGTTAATATTTTTATCGGCGATCTGTTAAAAACATAGCTCTGTTAATAATAAAAAATTGTAAATCTGAATTAAAATCTATTGCGAGTTACACCCGGTCATTTCATTTCGGCGACTTTCTTTCCTTTAACGGATTCATTGCCTCTGTTAAGCTGTTAACAGAGATCTGTTATTAACAGAGTGTAAAAATTTTCTAATAAATAACAAAAAAATTAACCTCTAACTGATATTTTCTCATTTTAATTGTATAAGTGTGATTTTTACATACCTCTGTTAAGTTAACAGAATTATGTTATTAACATAAGTGTCCAGTTTTGATAAAAATATTGAAATTTTAATAAAACCGTCGATAATTTTTGATCATTTAAATAAATTCTGATCTCTGTTAACTTTTTTAGCAGAGCTCTGTTAATAACATAACTCTGTTAATACCAAAAATATGTTATTCTCAATTTAAATTTATTTTAAATCGCATATTGGGTCTTAAATATCGATTTAGAAATTCAGTGGCTCTGTTATGCTCTTAACAGAGCTCTGTTAATAACAGAGTCAACATTTTATAATAAATTACAATATAAGTAACTTCTAATCCAAACATTCTCATTATAATTGGGTAAAATGTAATTTTAACATGCCTCTGTTAATTTAACAGAATTATGTTATTAACAGAACTTACAAGTTTTAACAAAAACTTTGAAATTTTAATGAAACCGTCGATGATAACTAATAACTTAAACAAATGCTGACCTCTGTTAACTTTTTTAGCGGAGCTCTGTTAATAACATAACTCTGTTAAAACCAAGAAAATATACACTGGTGGCCAAAACTAAAGCAACTGAAATTACAAGGAGAATGAATGCCCTGTAACTTTTTCAAAAAATAAGAAAATGTGAAAGTTTTTCTTGTTTTAAATTAGGTACTTTATTCACTTTTTAAAAACCTAAAACATAAAACCAAAATTCATTTTTATATAAAAAATAATGTTTGGTAAAGTCAATTAACCCGATTTTGGCTTGGACAAAACAAAAGCAACTCTGTTGTACATTCATATAACCGCTGCAATTTTAGTTGTTTTTATTGTGATATTTATCGCTTTTTGCTTCCTTCGACAATTTCGCTTGTCAAAAATCCTTTTTGAGAAGTTTTTTACAACAGTATGTGTTTTTCTTTTCGTTTTTTAAGTACTGCCCAAAAAAATTTTAAAAATGGCTAGAATCAAATACAGTACCCGAGTAAAACAGGAAATTATCAGTGACTATCAAAACAACATATCACAGAAAATGATTTCCGAAAAATGTTTCATAAATATTTATGTGATTTCATAATTATTTCTGTATACTAAGTCGGTTTTTTGAAACTGGATCAGTAGTAACAGTCTATAACGGATGAAGGCCGTGAAAAACTTCAGCCCGTACTGATCCACAAATTGTGAGAGAAATAAAAAACAACTATTTAAGAGTTCAACTGGATTGGTGAGAGAGCAATCATTGGATATATGCTCGAGATCAGTGCGTAGACGAGTAGTGGCAGCTGGTCTGCATGCCTGTAAGACATCAAAAAACCATTTATATCTGAAAAAATCAAAAAGGCTTTCGGAAACGATAATATTAAGTGGAATCAAGCTCAATGGAAAAAACATTATTTCTGGGATGAGTCTACCTTTAATATTAAAGGCTCAGACGTGAACAATTTTACGGTGAGAAGACCAAAATATGAAGGACTCAAGCCGCAGTGTTGCAAAGGTACAGTGAAGCATGAGGGAGGGTCAAAAATGGCGTGTCGCTGTTTTTCTTTCTATGGACTTGGGCCTATCCATAAAATAAAGAAAGTTGTGGATCGGTTTGTTTACAAAGATGTGTTGGACATCACGTTGTTCCCTTACGCTGAGTAAAATATTCGGCTGATTTGGGTGTTTCAGCATGACAATGATCCCAAACTTGTATCAAAACTTGTCAAATATTGGTTGCGGGAGTCAAAAATTGATGTTTTGTTATGGCCGGCACAATCACCTGACCTAAACTCCATAGAAAACCTTTGGAGTATCGTAGATAGGAAGATCAAGCGAGATTCGGAAATAAATAAGCACAACATTTTCTAAAGAATTCGGGGTGCCTGGGAAAGCACACCCAAGGATCAAATTGAGCGTGTTATAGATTCAATGCCTCGTAGGTGTGCAGCTGCTATCAAAAATAATGGTTATGCTATGGACTACTAGCCAAAATTTAATTATTTTAAAATAAAAAATCGAAAGTTGCTTTAGTTTTGACCAAGCAAAAATTGGGTCATTTTAGTTTTCCACATATTATTTTTCGTTCAAATGATTTTTGTATTTTTATTTTTAGTTTCTTAAAAGTGAATTAAACCCCTCATTTAAAACTGGAAAAATAATTACGATTTGTTTATTTTTGTAAAATTTACAGGACATTTATTGTCTTTGCGATTTAAGTTGCTTTAGTTTTGGCCACCAGTGTATATTCTCAATTTAAATTGAGACCAAATCGCACATTGGGCCTTAAATTTCAATTAACTAATTAATTCAGTGGCTTTGTTAAGCTGTTAACAGACATCTGTTAATAACAGAGTCTAAAGATTTTCTAATAAATCATAATATAAGTAACTTCTAATTCAAAATTTCTTGTTAAAATCGGGTAAAATGTAATTTTAACATACCTCTGTTAAGTTAACAGAAGTATGTTATTAACGAAACTGTCCAATTTTAGTAGAAACTTTTAAATTTTAATAAAACCGTCGATGATTTATGATCAATTAAATCAATTCTGTCCTCTGTTATTTTTTTTTTAACAGAACTCTGTTAATAACATAACTCTGTTAATACCAAGAAAATATATTTTTTCAATTTAAATTGAGACCAAATCGCATCTTGGGCCTTAAATTAGGTTACCTAAGTAATTTAGTGGTTCTGTTAAGCTTTTAACAGAGCTCTGTTATTAACAGAGTCTTACAAAATTTCTAAAAAATATTAATACTAGCAACTTCTAATCCAAAATGCCCATTAATATCGGGTAAATTATAATTTTTACCCGCCTCTGTTAAGTTAACAGAATTATGTTATTAACATAAGTATCAAGTTTTGATAAAAATATTGAAATTTTAATTAAACCGTCGATGATTTTTGATCATTTAAATAAATGCTGACCTCTGTTAATTTTTTTAGCAGAGCTCTGTTAATAACATGACCCTGTTAATACCAACAAAATTTTATTCTTAATTTAAATTTATTCCAAATCGCATCTTGGGCCTTAAATGTACAATTATCTAATTTAGTGGTCCTGTTAAGTTGTTAACAGAGCTCTGTTATTAACAGAGGCTTAACATTTTCTAATAAATAACAATATAATTAAACTCTAACCCAAATATAGCATTAAAATCGGTGTAAAATGTAATTTTTACATGCCTCTGTTAAGTTAACAGAAATATGTTATTAACAGAACTGTCCAATTTTAACAAAATCATTGAAATTTTAATGAAACCATCGATGATTTTTGCAATTTGAAATAAATTCTGACCTCTGTTAACTTTTTTAGCACTGTTAACTTAACAGAGTTCTGTTAAAAAATTTATTTTTGAAAGAACATCAAAATTTATATGTTTTCGACACATTTAAGAGTTCCACCATACTAGATTTGCAATATTTTGCCTATTTCGGGCCTCTGTTAATTTAACAGAGCTCTGTTAATAACATTTTTTCGGGAAAAAATATTTTTTAATTATTTTTTTAACATTTATGTGCCCTGCAATACCAAGAATAATAAAAATGTTGTCCCCACTTGGTCTCTGTTAATTTTACAGGGCTCTGTTAATAACATTTTTTCGGAAAAAATAACAATTTTCCTATTTATCGATGTATTTAAGTCTTTTAAAATGATATGTAGATTTTACTTTTTTTTCTATTCTCTGTTAACTTAACAGAACTCTGTTAATAACATTTGTTCTGAAAAAGTTGTAACTTACACATTTTTCAAAGATAAATGTGTCTAGAAGACCATGAAGGTAAAAAATTTGGCTCCATGTGACCTCTGTTAACTTAACAGAGCTATGTTATTAACATTTGTTTTGCCAAAAAATTGCATTTTAAAAATATTTCATATTTTCATGGGTTCTAGAGTACCAAGAAAATAATATTTTGCCCAAAATTTTCCTCTGTTAACTTAACAGGACTCTGTTAGTAACATTTGATTTACAAACAGTAGCAAATTGCACTATTTTGACATATTTATATTCTGGAATACAAATAAAGTAAAAAAGCTATCTCCGCCTCATTTCTGTTAACTTAACAGAGCTCTGTTATTAACATTTGTTCTGAAAAAAATTGCATTTTAATAATTTTTCATATTTTAATGGGTTATAGAGTACCAAAAAAATAAAAATTTGCCCAAAATTGTCCTCTGTTAACTTAACAGAGCTCTGTTAATAAAAATTACTCTACAAAATGTACTAATTTCCACTATTTTGATATATTTATGTTCTGGAATACAAAGAAAGTTCAAAAAGACCGGCTCCGTTTCATCTCTGTTAACTTAACAGAGCTCTGTTATTAACATTTTTTCTGCAAAAAATTGAATTTTAATAATTTTTCATACTTTCATGGGTTCTAGAGTACCAAGAAAATAATATTTTGCCCAAAATGTTTCTCTGTTAACTTAACAGAGCTCTGTTAATAACATTTAATCTACAATCAGCAGTAATTTGAACTATTTTGATATATTTATGTTCTGGAATACAAAGAAAGTAAGAAAAACTCTCTCTGTCTTATCTCTGTTAACTTAACAGAGCTCTGTTATTAACATTTTTTCTGCAAAAAATTGCATTTTACAATTTTTTCATACCTTCATGTGTTCTAGGATGACAAGAAAATAATATTTTGCCCAAAACCCCCCTCTGTTAATTTAACAGAGCTCTGTTAATAACATTTTCGTAGAAAATCTTAAGAAAAACTCACTTTTCTCTCAACATTGGATCCAAACCCACTGTCGGCTCATCCAGTATCAACAATTCCGGATCATGAATCATGGCACAGGCAAAGGAGACACGTCTCTGTTGGCCGCCACTGCATTTCTTTACCAATTGTGTGGCAGGTGGCAATTGCAGTAAATCACGTAGAATTTTAAATTTCTCCCGAATCTTGTCGTCTTTCATGCCATAGATGCGACCGAAATAATAGACGGTTTCCTTGACCGTCATCTCTTCGACCAAGGCGATTTCCTGGAAAAGGGAAAATGAGGATTGGAAAGGGTTCTTTTTTTTTAGAAAATTTTGAGAATCTCACCTGAGGCATATAACCAATTCTGGAACCGGGTATACCACTGCCTGGTGCCCCAGGCTTGAGACCCAGGACCCGCACATCACCACTGTTAAACTGGCGCTGGCCCACAATGCATGACAGCAAGGTGGTCTTGCCGCAACCTGAGGCACCCAATAGACCATAGCTGAAAATCGAAAGAAAAAACTTGGTGAGCAATGTTAATCATGTTGTGGTTTTTGTCGTGTCCGCAGAACATGGACATAGAAAATGAAACTGATTTCTGGCCAGCGGCGGCGGCGGCTACGGCCTTGTTAAAATTCTTTTGGCGTAGGTTGGGTGTTTTTTGGATTTTAGCCATGTCTCTGCTGGCCGTATGTGGTCTGGTGTTTGTTTTTTTTTTTTTGTTATCTTCGGCTGTTAATTGCTTTATTTATTCTACTCACATGGAACCACGCTGGACATTCATATTCAAATAGTTGAGTATAATTTTGGGTTTTGATTTGCTTCCATAATATTTGTAGCCATTTCGTACTTCTACGGCCGCTGCCATATTGTGTTCGTTGCTTGCGTTATGTCTGGAGCAGGGAGTTAGGGAGGGATTTTGAGGGGGTTTATCGTTGCGATATCGTTCGTAAGATTGCTGCTTAAAATGCCCCGCTTATCTTCTGCAAATGTTAGTTAAAAAAAAATATCTTGAAGACTGGGTCCTAGACTGCTTCTGGGACTCGAGACTTCTTCTTCGTCGTCGGCGGCTGCTGCTGCTGCTTCAAATTTATTTGTTAATAGATTTCATTTAAGTTATATGTTATTCTGACATTGATTGATCCTCATATGTTGTGTTCTGTTGTTGTCTTCCAAATCTGTCGTCTGTCTACCCGTCCGCTGTTCTCTGTTCTCCGCTTAAAAATTCAATCTGGATTCGTGTGGCTGGCTTATACGTTTTGCATTAATTTTGTCTTTTTCTTTGGCTTTCTTGGCGGTATTTTTCCTTAATGTTCTCAGGTTCCTTGGTGTAGTTTTTGTTGCAAAATTGCCATAGAAAAGAGTAGCTATTGAGGGGAAGAAAAAAAAAACAAATTGAATAAAATTAATTTAAAATTCAAGAGCATTATTAGTTTGATCCGGTACTGAATTTTATGGAAAAGAAGCCATGAGGGAGAGAAAAAAATCAAACGTTTAATGACAATTTGTCACCATCATCACCCTCCGGGGGGATTTAATGATGGATGTTTTGTTATTTTTGCATTACACAAATAAGGAATAGATTCCGTCGTACACATACTTTTTATAGTTTATGTTAATATTTCTGTTTATTTGCATTCTCAGTATTCTACAGCTACGAGACAGATTTGTGCAATGCCAACCATAATAATATATCAGCAACTTCGTTTAAGAGACATCTCTTTTAATCTCTTTCTTTTGCTTGGCTTTTTCCACAGATTTTGGGAGATAAATATCTCAACTTTCTCTAGAAAAAATTAGATTAATGTACCCCATGAAATACCGGAGATATTTACCCAGGAACGTGATTACCCGAAATTAAAAAAATCTTGTAATTTTCGGTAATCATTTTCTTCTGGCCATAACTTTGGAAATAAACAAAATATCTTTATCAAATTACTTTGTATTGAAAGAGCAACCGCTGTGTTTTGAAAAAATAAACAAATATGTCAAAATAATAACCAAAATTACCAAGATAGAGCCCAAGGAACTTAGATGCTCACAATTAATCATACTTCAATATTTTTGAGTAACCAACTTCTATCATCTCTAACTTTTTAAGTAACCACGCGATCTTGATGAAGTAACTAGATTCTAAAAGATCAATAACAACACAATAAATCCACAAAATTATTTTATGGAATTCCTAAAATTAACAGAGATATGACTCCTGGAACATGATTACCCAAATTTTGAGATTTGCTGAAATTATTGGGTAATCCTTTTCCAGGAGCCATAACTCTCAAAGTAATCCCAATATTTTGACTAATGTACTTGATTTTGAAGGAACTTTAAAGGTTTTATTAATTTCCAAGAAAATTATTTGACATAACCCAAAAAAAAAATAAGAGAGATATCGCTCAAACACCAGAGTTACCCAAAAGTTGAAATTGTTTGGCTTACTTCATATTTTTGAGTAACCAAATCAATTTTTGAGTAACCAAATCAATCCAAATTCAATTGGATTTTGAAAGTAGAATAACGACACAATACTTCCATAAAATTATTTTATGGAATTCCTGAAAATACCAGAGTTATGACTCCAAGAGCATGATTACTTAAATTTTTAATATTTTTATGTATGCTTGGGTAATTCCCTTCCAGGAGCCACAACTTTAAAGGTAATCATTATATATTGACAATTTAACTGGATTATGAAAGATCAGTAAACGTTATCTCAATTTCTAAGAAAACTTTTAGATATTACTACAATAATAAGAGAGATCTCGCTCAAAGATAGGGCCCATTGAACTTAGATACTTCCAATCAATAGTTCTTTAATATTTTTGAGTAACCGATTTTCTATCATCTCTAACTTTTAAAGTAACCACGCAATATCGATGATGTAACTGGATTCTAAAAGAGGAATAGCAACGCAAAAGCTCCAAAAAATTATTTTATGGTATTCCTAAAAATAACAGAGATATGACTCGAAGAACATGATTACCCAAATTTTGAGATTAGTGGAAATTTTTGGGTAATCATTTTCCAGGAGCCATAACTTTCAAAGTAATCCCAATTTCTTGACAAATTTACTTGATTTGGAAAGAACTTTAAAAGTTTTATTAGTGTCCAAGAAAATTATCCGGGATTACCCAAAAAATAAGAGAGATATCGCTCAAAAATCATGGTTACCCAAACTTTAAAATTTTTTCGCATCTTTAGTATTTTTGAGTAACCAATTGCCATCATCTCTAACTTTTTAAGTAACCACACAATCTTGATGAAGTAACTGGATTTTGAAAGAGGAATAAAAACACAATAACTCCAACAAATTATTTTATGAAATCCCCGAAAATACCAGAGATATGACTCCAGGAAAATGATAACCCAAATTTTAAGATTTGCTAGATAAAACTCAAAGTAATCACAATATCTCGACAAAGTTACTTGATTTGGGAAGATCTATAAAAGTTTTATAATTTTCCAAGAAAATTATTCGACATAACTCGAAAATAAGAGCGATTTCTCTCAAAAACCCAAGTTACCACAATTTGAAATATTTTGGCATACTTCAATATTTTTTAGTAATCACTTTCAATTATCTCTAACTTTTTAAGTAAGCACACAATATGGATGAAGTAACTGGATTTTTAAAGTGGAAGAACAACACAATAACTCCAAAAAATTATTTTATGGAATTCCTGAATATACCAGAGTTATGACTCCAAGAACATGATTGCCCAAATTTTGAGATTTACTGAAATTGTTGGGTAATCCTCATCTAGGAGCCATAACTTTAAAAGTAATTATAATATATTGAGAAAGTTACCTGATTTTGAATAAAAAATAAAGGTTTTATCAATTTCTAAGAAAATTATCCTGCATTTTTCCAATAATAAGGGAGATATCGCTCGAAGATCATAGTTACTCAAACTTTGAAAATTTTTGGTATTTTTGGGTAATCATTTACCAGATTCCACATCTTTGAAAGTAACCGCAATATCTGGATAAAGTGACTTTATTCTAAATCAACAAATGCCACTTAATCTATTTATAAAGAATTAATGCGACATAACTCCCAAAATTACAGAAATATCGCCCAAAAACTAAAGATACCCAAATTTTGAAATTTGTTGGTACTTGCCGGTAACCACTATTTCAACGCCATAAATTTTTAAATATCCACAAAATCTTGAAAATCTATTTTGATATTAAAAGAACGATAACAGATGTATAGATTCCTAAAAGAAATTATGTGACGTATCTCCTAAAAGAAGTGAGATATCGCTTAGAAACCAGAATTACCCAAATTTTGGGATTATTTTGCATTTTTGCGTAATCATTTATCAGGAGCATTAACTTCCGAGGTAACCACACAATCTTGATAAAGCGACTTAATTCTGAGAGAACAAAGACCAATCTATCAAATTGTAAAGAATATATGTAATATAACTCCCAAAATTACCGAGATATCGCTGAAATATTAAAGATACCCACATTTTGTAATTCGTTGGTACTTGTCAGTAATCTTCATCATGACACCGTAACCTTTTCAATATCCGCAAAATCTTGACAATCTATATTGATTTTCAGAAAATAATAACACGTCTTTCAATTCCTAACCAAATTATTTGTCATATCTCCTAAAAGCACTGAGATATCGCTCGAAACCCATAGTTAGCAAAATTTAAGAATTTTTTGATATTTTTTGGTAATCATCTGCCAGTAGATATAACTTGGAATATAATCTCACTATCTTGACAAAGTGACTTAAATCTGAGAGAACAAAGATCAATCTATCAAATTGTACGGAATTTATGTGATATATCTCCCAAAATTACAGAGATATCGCCCAAATACTAACGATACCCACATTTTTAAATTTGTTGGTACTTTTCGGTAATCATTATCTTGACAACTTTTCAATATTCGCAAAATCTCGACAAATTATATATTTTTTGGAGGACAATAATCGATCTTTTGATTCCTAATCAAGTTATTTGACATATCTCCCAAAAAACTGAGATATCGCTTAAAAATGAGAATATCGCAAATTCTCAATTTTTTCGTCATTGATTTCAGAGAGGCATATCTTTTGAAGTGTTTGACATATTTTCATGAAATGATATTATTTGGGAAGAGGAATATCTTGCCTAAAAACAAAAATTGTATCTCGCAAGACACCAAGATATCTTCCGAAAAATAAATTAGTCACATTATAAATATGTGTTGTAAATTTTGGTTAACCGTGTTCTTCTACTCATAACTTTTAAGATACCAGTGGTAACTTCCTTGAATGGCTTTAGTTTTTCAAGCAGAGGTCTAGGACTTTCAATTGGGTTAAATTGTGTTACCATATCTCCCCAAATACCAAAGACAGCGCACATGAAGTATAGATGTCACTTTTTATAACTTTACGACATTTTTTACGTCACGCGTTTCTGAAGGGCATAACTTTTAAAATATTTGACATATCCTCATAAAAAGACTAGGCTCGGAAAGTGGAGTATCTTTTTCAAAAACCAAAATTAGTTCCATGAGGTATCTCACAAAACTTCGGAGACATCTTCCAAAAATAAAGATGCCATTTTTTTTTAATATGTATTGGAAAATTTGGGTAACCATAATCTTATTCTTATAACTTTTAAAATATCAGTGATATCTTCCTTGACTGGTTTATACATTTCAAGTAGAGGCCGTGGACTTTCAGTTGGTGTAAAATGTGTTGCCATATCTACCCAAATTCCGAAGATAGCACACATGAAATATAGATGTCTCTGTTATATGCATTTTCAGAATTTTTCGTTGACGATTTTCAAAACATCATATCTTTGAGAGATTTTGACGTATCTTCCTGAAATGAATTTTGTAATAAGGGGGAATATCTTCGCAAAAAAATCAAAATTATTTCAATGATGCATCTCACAAAACTCCAGAGATATGTTCCAAAAAGTAAAGTTGCCAGATAATTGCCTTTTGTTGGAAACATTACGTAAACGAGTTCCAGAAGTCATAACTTTTAAAATATGGTCAATATCTTCATGGAATGGCTTTGGGGTTTCAAGGGGAGCCCTCGGACTTTCAATTATTGGAAACAGGGTTGCCATATCTTTTCGCATTTCAAAGATGTCGTCCATGACATATAGATGTCTCTGTGAAATACATTTTCAATTTTTTTCGTTGATAATTTTTAAAACATTATATCTTCTATAGTTTTTGACGTATCTTCCCGAAATGACTTTTGTAATAAGGGGGAGTATCTTCCCTAAAAATCAAACTTAATTCAATTATGTATCTCACAAAACTCTAGAGATATCTTCCAAAACATAAACTTCCCAGATAATTGACATTTGTTGGAAATTTTGCGTAAATGTGTTCTAGGAGT